TTCTGTCTACTAGATGTGCTGCAGTGGAAGCTTTAAATTTGAATGTGAATAGCTAACTGAGGTGTTTTTTATTGAAATATATATCTTCTTACTATTTAATAGTAGGATAGTTTTAAAGAGATTGGAGAGTTTGTTTCAACTTCATGTTTAAACTCATGTTTGAATGCTCCTTGAATTTATCTGTGTATGTCTTAATGCACATAGATACCAAGGCATGAATTTGGGAATAAAAATATATGCTTAAGGAAGGTAACTGTGACACCTTCATAGATAACAGCAAATAATTAAATGAGTAGGAGCTACTGGGATTATGCTGGAAAAGTAAATAAAGCCCTTGGAGAATATGACTCTTGGAAGAACATTGCCCCCATACATGTATTTTTTCAGGAAGGAGAGAGGTCAGTATATGAACACATTAGTGAAACGACATGCATGTGTTTGGAACTTTGGTTCTCTACACCAACACTGAAAAGATGGCTAGTTGGCAGTAAGTAATACATCATGAGTAGAAAATGTGAAAACTGTGCCTTGTATGGAGAATACTGAGAAATTCAAAATGTCTCATTTAATTTCTTCAGAGAATTAGGAAGGTTTTGATATGATCACTTTTTTTCCTAATGATGTTGAATGTCATCCTGATTCAGATCAAGTACCCAGCTGGTAAATGCTCTGGATTGCCTGAAGGAGTCTGCCTCTCTGCCTTGATTTTACTCAAGGGAAATGATCAAATTAATCCCTGCAAGAACTGTATCTTACAAGCGCAAACTTAAAAAAAAATTCCCATATTCATGGAAGTGGTTTCTAACAGCAGGCGGTCCTTGAACTCCCACTGAAATTGTCAGAACAGACAGGAAGTTAAGCACTGCCCAGTTCAAGTAGCTTCACTTTTAAAACATATGTAGCAGATATATGTTTTGAACCAAAGTATCATGGGGGTTTTTGAACTTTAAACTCATTAAATCAGGAACACCACCCCTCCCATCCCTAAATTAAAATATAAAATTAAAAAAAAAAAATTTATCAAGACTGCATCATGCACTTGTTTTCATTACATTACACAGTGGTCTAGATTAAATCATCTAGCAGAGTGGTTACGTAAAAAGTTGTAACAGAAGATCATAGCATTTGTTTTCTGCCTTCAAATCTATGGATTGATGAATCTACCTACAAGGGATGAGCAAAACCCTGTTTGAAAAATCTTCAGAGTATTTTTATTTTAAAGAAACAGTACTAATAGCAGTAATATTTATATAATCACTGTAAAACTTCAGCAAATCTCTTACAGGTCCTGAATAAACGTATATCAGGAGTATGAAATAACTTAGAAGTGCATTGGGGGAAAAAGACAAAACAAACAAACAAAGAAACAAAAAACAAAACAGAATGAAAAGTAACAAAACAAAACCACAGAAACCCACAGAAGAACCAGAGCAGTGTATGGAAATTCAGTGAAATCAGAAATACCTACAATTGAATAAAACCACAGGCTGCTGTAATAAGCTTCTCCCTCTCCTCCAATACTCCCTATGTTCTCCCTGCTTTTTTCTTTAAAATTTCTGCCTTTGCTTTGTAGTTGCTGCATTACCTCCTGTCTGGTGAAAACTCAGTTACCCTACTGCTCTTTATTGCCCAACATAACAACAATCTTCTGCTTATTGCATAATTTTTTTTTTTCCATTTGTGTTCCTTTCTAGATTATTCTTCTTAAATGCATAGTTTCTACTAATGTAACTGATGTTTATTTTTGGGATTTTGATAAGTGAAAAGAGAAGTATTGTTTTTCCCTTTGTAACGATGATGAAAATAACAGTGAAGTAAAACATTATCTAAGAAGTATCATACAGCAAAAGGTACTGTGAACATTCAATAATATACTTTTATTTAAGCATCTATGGGTATATGCACATTTGTGTGCACTCCAGAAAAGGATGTTGAATTAGAGTGATTAATTGGAGTAATGCACAATAAATGTCTGTCTTTTATCTTCATGCTACATTTATAGTTCTCACAAAGGCAGCATTTAGGGATTTAACTTGCCATTTCACATCACTCCAAAACTGCATTTGTTTCTGAGAAATTAATTTGATGTTGAGTGCAGAAGCTGAATGCAGGTCTACGTGCATAGTTGTGCTGATCCTTACTGTGAAGTATAACAGAGAGAGTAGGAATAGGGGATGGCTGTAAAGATTCCTGTGCTTAGAAAAGTGTCAGGTCCTGCTCTTAATTTGATGAGTTATTTTGCTGTGGCCTTTTGGGGACTGCATGTGGCTCTACATCCCAGAGGTCAGCTATATCTTATTGGGGATCTGTGCAGTGTTCTTACACTGTACCTAGGATCATAAATAGAATTAGCCCAGCTGTCTGTCTGAGATGTGAACAGTGATCAGGGAAGCTCTAAGTTGGTATTGTGAGTTTTCTTTTTTTTCCTTGCAGACAAAATTGCAGTAAGATTGAAGGCTGGCTGAGTTGCCAGTACTGTCCATCACAATTCAGGTCAGCCTCAACAGTTCAGACACAGTGAACTTACTTATTATGAATGTCTTCTACATCCAAATATGTCACTGGGAAGTGAACATACTGTGGTATGTTCACATTACCTCCCAGTCTTTTCCTGACATCAGCACGTGTTCTGCTAATCTCAATTGTTTTGTGGCTTGATGGTGTCTATGAGACAAGTGGAACATGGGGTTTGATGCAGTTTTGCTTTGGGATTGCTTTGGGATTCTGTTGCCTTGTGTAATTGGGCTAGTAGGACTACTGGTGGCAGCAGATACATTCCTTGAGGACAAAAGGGTTTTTGAGGGACTTGCACAGGCTGGGAACAGGCTGAGAGCAGCTGCTGGCTTGCTTTAGCTCACTTGTACTCATCAAGAAATTTGTATGCATAAGGGACATACAGAAGGGCCGTTAATTTTGAAGATTTACTTGCTTTCTTCTCTATATAAAACTTCACTGAGGTCCTCTGTGCTGTACTATGCGTTCTGTGTGTATGCATTACAGAATCATAGGAATGGATATGTATGCCTGTTATTAAAAAGAAATGAACTATCTGCATGTTCTCCTTTTTTAGGTAGGTGTTCTTTAATGCAGTTAGATAATCAAAAACCTCCAAGGTGATTTGTTGGTATTGGTTGATAGATAGCACAGCATTTTCTAGAGCTGAGCTATTAAAAAAGGGCATGATGATCAATGTATACTGTGATGTGAATATAGTATGTGCAAGTACACAAGAAACACAAACATTTTTATTAAAGGATTACAATGAAAATATACAGACTGTGTAACAACTTGATACTTTTCTGCAGCGAACATCCATGTCTTTTGATAAACAAACAGAGCATTTAACTTATTTTTGCTAATGTTCTACTAATAAAATTTGCTTCCTCATATCCTCAGACCATTATGCCTACAATACAACATTAGTCCTACTAAAGATATTTGCAGTCAGGTTGCTCAATTAATTATTGGACTGTAGAAGCCTAACATATCTTTTCAAATTTTAGGCTGTTAGCAAATCAAGGGATTTTACCCATGAGCTTTGTTACGTTCCTAGTACAGAAATGATGTTTTCAGCTCATTATGCAAATTCTGTAACAGCTAAGGTACTTCAAACTAGACATTAAACTATGACCTTAGTTTTCTTCTTGATTTACCGCTGAAGGCTTTTGCAATACTTGTTCACTGTATTTCAGCTTGTTGTATGTTAGCATGATAGATGTTCAGATCTTGCTAGAAGCAGTGCTGTTGGACAGCTCTACTTAACTTGCATTTCTTCTTTAGTTTATGTTCTTCTTGTTAGTTCAATAATACTGCTGTGTAGTGCAAAATAACACATCCAGTTTTTTTTTCAAGTTCCTATCCCATGCTTTTTTATAGGTTAGATGATGACATATCTGGTTTAAACTTTAATGATGACCATGAGGAAATCTCGCTAGACTAATACAAAATTAAATATGGAATCTCTATGACAGCATGGCAAAATTTTCAACAGAAAATGGAAAAAAGGCACTTCTGCTATGAGTAGTTTCATATTATGCTGATATACATATTTAGCCACATCACACTCGTGAAACAAGAATAGTATTACTTCAATTTACAACACACAAGGATTTGGCTTTCAGTCTTTATTACATAGTCCAAGGCAGAGACAAATGATTTTCCACTAAAAGTATATTCAGTTACACAGATTTTAACAGTGAAAGTAAGAAACAAATAAGAAATAAAATGAAGAAAACCCTGTTCCATAGAATTGTATTTTAGCGTACACTTAAGTATACTGCCCCCCCCTTCCCCCCCCCCCACTTAACTACTGATGGTTTATTTATAAGCAAGTAACAAACAATGGCTAGAAAATACTATTGCACCACAAATTATCTACACTGATATCTCTATTTTTCATACTAAAACCTAGACAGGATGACATTTACTAGGATGATATTTACTCCAGTATGATGTTTCTTTCATAAATCTTCATGTGTTTTACTAACACAAAATGGAAATGCAGACTGTATTAAGTTAGTTAGAAAAACAAACATATGTGTTTGGTTAAGAAAAAAATTATTTCTATCAAAATGCAACTTTTTTTTTTTTTTTTTTTTTTTTAAAAGCAGCTCTGATGTGCTAACTCTTCCAAACACTTCACACAGGGACTGTTGTTGACTTCCAAGTTTGAGATATTGCTGACAGTGCAGTAGAAATTTGGGAATCTAAAGAGAATTCATTGGTTGCCTGTGCCAGCTCTGATAAGCTTATAGTTGTACATCTATTTGCACTGGAGTTTACAATAACAGAGTCAATGCTTTTTTGGCGATAATTCTACCAATGACAGCATGGGATACTTACATTTACTCTATTAGGTGAACTGATACCTCATCGTTTTGATTGTAAAAGTCTAGTTCTTATGTGAGAAGTAGAAGAGAATGGTGTTGCTTGGAGGTTTTTTTTCTGTAAATGATCACTGAAGGAAATATTTTCCCTTTGAAGTTATTGAACATGCAATCTTTATAAGTGAAGAACTCTTGAATTTCCAACGTGTTGTTCTAGATGATCCTGTGAGACTTTGGCACACAAACAACCCACACAGAAAACACCTCTACAAAAAAAACTTATATGTAAATCAAGTACCCAACTTCATTTCCCATTATTTCCTGTCCTTAAAAGCTTGACAACTTTTTTTTTTCAAAAGTTGTCTGTCTCTTGAACTTTTGTTTCCAACCTGTTTAACGCCATTGTAACTTGCCAGAGCATATCAGATAGCTTTGCTTTTAGACTAACAGATGTATTCCTGGTTAATGACTGTTTTGAACAGTGGAGCTTGGAAAGCCCCCATACCTCTTGGCTCTGCTTGCCACTGAGTTTCATGCTTCTGTTAAGAGCAATGTAGAAGTGCTGCAGAAGCAATTTTTGACAGATTGGAAAAGCAGGCACTTTCCTCTATGTTTATTCTTTTATCATTGTTTTTATTTCTTTTTTTGAGGGAAAGCGTATCCTATGCCTTCCCATAGTGGACTGCACAGAAACACTGGTTTGTAATTGCTTTGAGAGCTATACTGCAGCAGACCCTGTCACGGCAGTGGAGTGGTTTCAGCTTCTTGGAGTTCCAACTGAAAGGAAAGAAATTGCAAATACAATGAGCAGTTACTTGATTTATACCTCCAACCCCCCACCAGTTTGTGTTTACAGTGCGTGTTTTTTAAAGAGGTATTCACATCTCATTTGCAGCTTTATCCTGCCCTATAAAGCTGAGCTGATAGCCCAGGCAACAGGGTGAGGATGAGCTTTTGTCATAATACAACAAGGAAGAGAGAATGGTAAAAGAAAAAATTTGTGTCTGACCTTTAATGATACAGAAACGAATCTTCAGTGCTGTCTCGTTTGCACAAGAGTCTGTTTCATAGCTGTTTTCCTTCTAGATGGGAACCCTCTGTGAGTTTCACTTGTAAAAAAGGGTTTAACTCACTCTTTGTATTCTTTTGTAGCAATTGCAGATGCTGGTATTTTAGATGCCATGTTAGCATGCTTTCTCTGTTCACATCAGTATATTGGCTAACTCCTGGATTTGAATTTAAAAATCCAGTTTACATTCTGTGTGAGATGGAGTTACATCAGGAATTAATCACAATTGTCCCTCTGCCCTGGATGCCCATAGTATGCATGCCTATTCATGTACAGGCATGATATCAATACAGAAATTTTCACCAAGAAAATCTGCTTACTATACATCACATCCTGAAAACCTGCAACCCTTTTTACTGCTCAGCAATCAGAAATTGTCAAAAATAGGGAGATATAAGGTGTTTATTTATGGAAAGCAGAGTCACAGATGAACTGTGAAGAAAGGGCCACGTGTTGCATCTGTTTAGGGATTTTGGAGTGAGGAGAAAGTTTATTTTCTAACTGCTCTGTTTTTCAGGCACTTTCAGAAGTGACATCTGTTAGAAATACTAATTGGAGATATATTTATCCAAAGCCAAAACATAACTTAAATGCTTGTTTAATTCAGCATAATATATTTAGGGGCTTTCTTTATTCTACATTGAGAAAGTTCCTTTTCATCAACTTTTTATTAGAAAATGACTTGATTTTGAATCCGAATATCTGTCTTTTGGAGAAGTCCAGATCCAGAACTTAGTTTTAAATTTAATTTCACTTCTCAGTTGAATCACCTGCTGGAAAGGAATTACCTGCTGGAGAGGAACTCTGCATTGAAAGTCCTATGTGTCTTGATGGACAACAGGTTGGCCAAGCCAGCAATGTGACCTTATGACCAAGAAGCCCAGAGATACCCTGGGCCAATGGGGTGCAAAAGTGTAGCCAGCAGGTTGAGGGAGATGATCCTACCCCTCTTCTCTTCCCTGGTTAGGCCATACCTGGAGTACTGTGTCCACCTCCGGGCTCTTTAATTCAAGAAAAACAGGGATTATCTAAAGAGAGTCCAACAGAGATGGATGATGATGAGGGGCCTGGAAAGCTTCCCTTATGAGGAAAGGCTAAGAAGCTGGGACTGTTCAGTCTGGAAAGGCTCTGAGATCAGCTCTGATAAATGCTTATAAATATCTAGTGGGCAGGAGTCAAGTGGATGGGGCTGGACTCTTTTAATTGCCCAGTGACAGGACAAGGGGCAAAGGGCAAAAACTGGAACAAAGGAAGATTCATATGAACATGAGGAAGAAGTTATTTACTGTGATGGTGATAGAGTACTGGAACAGGTTGTCCAGAGATGTTGTGGAGTCTCCTTGGAGACATTCAAAACATTCTTGGATGCTTTCCTTTGTGACTCTGCTTTAGCAGGGGGCTGGAGAACTAGGTGATGTCCAGTGATGCCTTCCAACCACTACAATTCTGTGATACTGTAATAGAATATTCAGCTCTTATGGAAAAAAATGAAATGTTCTGCTGTCCATTTATTCTGACTTTCAGTTTAAGGAATGCATCACAAAAATATGCAGCTTTAGGATTGTTTTAATTGGTTTCAGTCCTCATAGCATTGTTTATACTTGTAAACTCCTTTAATTAAATTGTGTGGAAAACATTCTGTTTTCTCTGCTATGTAGAAGATTTATAAGGGTCCCATGCCAGTGCAACTCAGACACAAAAGGATGAATCCGCTACATTAATACAAGCTTGTAGAATTCTTGACAGAAATAGTTTTTATAAGAAATCAATGTTTTATCATCGAGCACCATATTACATGCAATGGACATATGCCAACTTTCTAATAACACATAGAAGGGTTCTTCTTCATTAAAACAAGTAGATGCGAAACCTGATAAAAATTGAAGTTATAGAATCTGTACAGCTTGTATCAGGTTTCTGCACATGACTCACCAGTACTCCGCGTATTTGTTTGTAAGCTGTCACAGAATGTTAGGAAAACTAACCTGTAAGAGAGTCCTTTTTTTTTCAGTTAGTTAAACCAGTTTTAATTTTTTTTCTTGTTTCAACCTAGAAATAGTTTTTCTTTACTCCAATATCCTTTGTGTTTCTAAATCTAAATGCTTGACTAGCCACCAGTCTTTTCTCCCTCACGAACAAGTTGCTCCACTGAGCATGTACTATTTTCATAAATGCTCATACCATCAGTGCTGTTTCTGGGGGATGTCAGAACTTGTTTTGTACTTTCCCTAAATGCTGATAAAACAGTAATGAAATTTCAAATCCAGAAAAATCTTTCAGCAATCTCAAAGACCCATGAAATAAGCCAAAGGAAAATATCTAAACCCACAGTAATACGAACATTTGTGTTTGCTGTTCCTGCTTTTGCACTGATAGAAAACACAACTATTATTTCCATGAGTGAATGGTTATTTTAAGTGCTTTAAGAATGTGAGGCCCCAAGCTGTTCTGCAATTGAGTGTCTGCAATTCTCATTACCTTTAGCAGGAGTAAGAATTCTCACTTGGCAAAAAAAGCAGCTTGCAGAACATCTGTTTCTTTGAAAATAACTTGAACTGTGTCCACAACTATACAGTTGTGCAAATAGAATTCATAGAAAATGCTCTCCAAGGCCTTATATATACAAGAGAGAGCTTGTCAGTATACTTAGATCAATACAGATATGCTGGCTAGGCTTGCCTATACAGAAAGCACTTACCTGTGAAAAGAATGTCCTGTCAATAGAATTTACAGAAGCTCACCAACTGTTTGAGCAAAGTGCTTTTTTACATTTTCTGAGAGAAAAAGCTGCATTCACTCTAGGGCTTTTTCTGTCTAAAATAAATAAATACAAATTACATTTGTCAGCACTACTCAGAGAACCTCCTCATAATAGAAGTTCTACAACCTTTCTGTCATTTTGATGATAAGCGACACCAAAAATTTTGTCTCTTACGGATAAGTTCATTGTGGAAGAAAATATAGAAATGAAGATTTATATTCAGCTGTGAACATGGCTTGCTGTGCATGTATTCCATTGCTTTTGTGGAGGATGAGAAATATTGCTGCTGCTAGCTGGTGTGCTGCGCCCAGGGAGTGCCGCAGTAAGAAGATTCAGGTCCGATCTGGAGAGTGTGTGTGGCAGAAAGAAATCAGTGGCAGCATCTGCCAAAGCAAGGACTGCTGGGTGGTAGTGAGAGAAATGACTGGGCCCGTTTATGGCCACTTCAAATTTTCTCAAATACCAGACTATGCAAATAAATTTATGAGGACAGGTGTTTCCAAGTAAGTCTTCTTTGTGGCCTCAGGGAAACCTGCTAGTAAGTTGCTAGGAAGAGTTACAGAGGCAGTGAAAGCTGGGAAGTCACAAAGTCACATAGTTTCTTACACTTGCGAACACACTTTTGTTACATGAACATAATCTCTTTGCTTCAGTTTCCTTCCTCTCTGCCTCTGATGTTATTCCTGATGTTCCCCTTTCTCTTTTGCATTCTTCTGGTCAGCTCCATTTCCCTTCAGCACCTTCCTTTTCACTTCTCTTCAGTATGTTTTATCTCTTCTTAACTAATTCCACTGTTACTCACTGATGCTAACAAGTAAAACCAATCAGCCAAAATTCCAACTGTGTGATTAGCTTGCTTCCTACTGCCATTGAAAAGTTAACTTCTGTTCCTACCTCAGGTGTCACCCTTCCGTGATGTAGATTGTAATATTTTTCTGGGAAGGATCATCTTCTGCTCTGTGTTTGCTCTGCGCACACCAAAACAGGCTTTATTTTAATCAGCCTTTGCCAGTACCATAATAATTTTTGGTAAGGGTAGAAATTTAGAAGGTTACAGCTCTTCTAAAATTTATAAAAAGATTTATAAGTAAATGTTGAAGATATATGCCTCTAAGCTACACTGTAGAATGTTGGACACTTACTAGGTAAAGACTGAATTCTGTTGTCAGACGTGCACAAAATTGACTCCACTGAGGATCACATACGCACTGTTGAGAGCTGAACCTATCAAATAAACTTTTGCTTCATATAATGAATACTGTGTACATACATGTATTGGTCCATGACACATTTGGCCATACTGCTCTACCACTGAAGTGTGGGTAAGACTGATAACACAATCACAGCTTTCCCTTGTGAAATCACCCCCATTTCCAAATGAGAACCTGTTCTGTGTGAGAAAAAGCAAGTCTGAAACTGGATCAGTTCTTTGGACAATGAAGGTAAAGTCTTAATATTTTCTGTCAAAGACCAAGCAGGTGCTAACTGACTTCACAGGCCACAGCCTACCATGTACGAATCACGTGCTTGTGAATGATATCAACAACTGTAAATGCTTAATACACCTTATTCTTCTCCCCACAGCCTGCTTCTTCCTCTTTTCTGGTGTAATTACTACTGCTGCACCTCAAAAAGGTGCTTAGTTTGTGGCTGAAAGGGCAACCAAGAAGCTCATGTAGGAGCAACTGATGTATACTGCTGATGTTCCAAAAAAAAGGTGATGTGGCAAGGAATGAACTAGTCTTGTGCCTTTCTTCTCTTCAGTGAATTCCAAAGAAGATTGAAACCCTTTCTAATACATGCCTTGCTAGAATGCTACAATTTGCTTTTATGTTTTGCTTGATGTTCACTGAGGAATGTGGTTTGGCAACTTGGGAATTATCACAGGACCATGGATGTTAAATATGTAACAAAAAAACTTTTTTGCAAAAGCTAAGAAAATACAGTTTGAATTAAAATGAGATTTTTGATATTTTTCTCTTGGTATCTGCTGTGCTACAAAATTTCTACTCCTCAAAGGCTTTTTCTACATAGAAAAGGAGTGCTCTGTACACCTTAAATGGCAAAATGGTACAACACTCCTTAACATGTATGCGTATTTATATATATATGTATATCAAAACCCACACTAGTCAACATAGATAATGATCTAGCACAAGAACTGCATGCAGAAGACTTTTGTCTACTTTTTACATCTTTCCAGCAGAAACAGGGCTTGTAGGCCTTCCTTCTATCCAATCAAAAAGTGTATATGCACAGCTTTTTCTCTTTTCAATTCACTGATAAAACAGCAGGAGAGAGACGTAACCATCTTATAGGAGAAAACAAGGAGTATGAATAGAGAAATCTGTTCAAAACATTCACCTGTTGTAAACATTTTGCAAATGAAACACTCTGTTTTGGATGCTGCGTGTACCCATGCACACTGAACCCAACCACGCAAGGTACCTTTGAAAGCAAAGTGCTCAGCTTCTGGGCATCAACTAGACTAGAAAGGACACAGTGCATGACTGGGGTCTCTGTGTATGAATACACTGGCTTCAAATGTAGCCTCTAAGGTGGTCAGACCTTTAAACAGCTACAAATCAGTATAAACTGTAACTTCAGAATACATGTCATCTCCAAGCGGGAGGCCCGGATCCAGAGATGACATCTCCACTGCTAGTCATACCTGATGGTTAGTCCTGTCCACAGTGTTGGCAGTGGAAGCATGGTCACGAGTATTTTGTCGGACCCTTGTGGAGTTTTGCTGCTCAATGGTTGAGGAGGTGGGGATGCAGAACTCTCTGAAACACCTTTTGAAATTCTCATCTAGAAATGCATACAGGACTGGATTGAGGCAGCTATTTATATACCCTAGAGCAATACAAAAGTGCCAGGACACAGTCTGGAAAGTAGTTTCTGGGATGTTGACCAGGGCTTTAATGATGACATAAATATGGATAGGAGTCCAGCAGATGATGAACACTGCCACCACTACAAGAACCATCCTTGTGATCCTCCGCAGGTTCCTGTCCTTCTCTTTAGAGCCAGATAACATGCGGACACTCTTGAGGCGTAAAATCATCAGCCCATAGCACACAGTAATGATCAGGACTGGCATGATGAAGGCAAAGATGAACACACAAATTTTCAGTAGGTTTTCCCAGTACCAAGCAGGGTGAGAGAATGTAAGTGTGCAGTCAATAGATCCTAGGGAAAGAAGAAAACAGCAGAGAACAAGACAGCTTTATATTTGCTTTCCTTTAAATATATATATATATTAAATACTGTAAGCAAATAGATTTTTGTTATGTAAATAACTAAAACAAAACAATTTGGTATCTGTCATTGGGACAAAGAGCGATAGGACACAGTGTTGCAAAACATGCGGGAAGCTTCAGTTAGAAAAAAACCCAAAAAGTAGCATGTTCTCCTCTGCATTATATCACTTGGAATTCTGTGTAGAATTTCAGAAGAAAAAGAGCTGAATTGTCATAAATGTCTAAACTTTGGCTCGCTTCTGATATAAAACCTGCTGATGATTTAACCACCATATCTGCAGCAGATTTGGGCATTTCAGGGCAAAAGGGAAGAGGATGATATGATGCTTGGTAACCATGCACTAGTGGTTACTATACCAAAAACATGGAGTGTTTTTGATATATGTTGAAATGCTGTCATTTGAAGGAAGATCTCTGAGCACTAGTGCTCCAGAACATGCTCTGACTTCTGTACTATACACTGCCAGGCAAAGTTGAAAATATACAGCCATTATCTGCAACTGCCAAATTCAGCAGGAATATCTTGGGTATAACAATGCCTTCTGTGCAGTACTGATACTGTACTCCAGATGCAGCCATACCAAGGAAGAGGAGAGGAAGAGGATCTCTTGATCCACTGGCCACACTTTTTTTTAATGCATGCCAGATACCACTGGCCCTCTTGTCCAGAAGGGTGGGCACAGATGCTTTTCCAAACACAGCAGTAATTGTGTGGAGCAGGATTCTCATGGATCCTGCTGGAGTTGCCAGACATCAAAGACTGATCACATGCAATGCTGTGTCAGGTCAAGTAGGGCTAGCTGCAAAATTGTTAAAGATGGTTTTTGGCATAACTTTATACAGTCTGCAGGTCAGAAATTAGTTCAACACCTCTACAATAAAAAGAAACAATGCAGAAAGGAGTTCAAACATTGAATTATTCAATTTGAGAATGAAAAACAAGACTTACCATGTCTGTATTTAGTAGTTGCCATAAACATAACTGGGAGACCAATGGCAGAAGAAAGAATCCAGTTGCAGACATTGACAATTTTGGCATTTCTGGGGGTACGGAAATCAAGGGCCTTGACTGGGTGGCAAACGGCTACGTAGCGATCCACACTCATGGTGCAGAGCGTAAAGATACTGGTGAACATATTGTAGTAGTCTATGGATATAACAATCTTACAAAGAATCGTACCAAATGGCCATGTTCCCATCAAGTAATTCACACTCTGGAATGGCAAAGTACTTGTTGCTAGTGCATCTGCCAATGCAAGATTGAAAATATAGATATTGGTGGCAGTCTTCATTTTTGTGTATCTAGAAAAAAAAATCAGCAAAGAAAGTGAATGACTACAACTAACAACATTAAACAAAATTGAGGCCAGTGCACCATCTACAAGTTACTTCCACAAAATAACATGCTAAATGGTATTAAAGATCATCTCCTCTACTGTTCACCTTTAAATCAAATTATCTTGCTCTGGTTTATCTACAATGATGTTTATAAATCAGTCAGACATTACCTAACAGGTATAAGAAGGGTAAGAAAACACTAAATTAATTTGTGCAGAAAGGACATACATAGAAGAAACAATATTATGATTGCTAAAGAACCACTAATGGAGCTGGAAAGAAATGTTTGTGCACACTGGTCACTGTACTAAATGAACAGATTTTGTGTATCTTCTCATGACATGTCAAGAATCAGAACTGTAGTCTGCAGCAATGGAGCACACAGCATTTCTTGGTTGTGAAATAGTAATGATTAATTACTTATGGAATAAGTAATTAAATTCAGGCTTTTGTTTTAAGACTAACTTACCTGCTTGTAATCAAATAATTTAAAAATCATTTGTTATGATGGTTACCATTATTATGGCTACTACTAGGGTTACTACTACCCTGATCTCAGGTTCCTCTACAAACTGGACAGATATTCCAACTGAATGAGAAGACAGATGCTATCGGCCACATGAACTAAGCACATCAGTAAAACCACCAGCCCTGTGTGGATGCTTAGCCCCGTTGCTTAAAGTAGGTATGCATGCACTGCTCTGCTCCACAGTGTCGATTTTACAGGTGAGACTTCAAACTGTTTTGAACTCCCGTCTTAAGTCTGTGGCACTAACACAAAAAAACACTTTCTGAACTTTAAACACGTCACACCAACCACAGCTGAGCAGGGACACTTTATATGCTCTGTGTTTGCTTTCCTAAATGTGGAATTAAAATTATTCCTTTGTTTCATCCATTTTTTCTTTTCAAGAGCCCTTTACAGTTTCAAGCCCTTGCGTCACATCAGTAGCATCTGACATCCACTATCTGTGAGGATGATATATTTTCCAATGGCACAATGAACATTTCATTCCAAGTAATCACTCCTGGCTAGTTTGTCCCAATTGCTGCTGAGGTTGCTAGGCACTGAGGCCAGAATTTGGGGGGTTAGATGGTTTGCTCTTTTGATGAAATTCCCCTTTGATTCTGCAAAGTAATTCATCAGACATTTTATATTGTATAGACAGATTTGCAAATGGAACAGTCCTTTAAAAAGACCCTTTGGGCAATTTGTTGGAGAAGACAAAGAAGACAAAGTGTAAAATACAGTATTAATTTTTTTTTTTTTTTTTTTTTTTTTTTCTCTCTGATCTCTTCAGAACACGAGTCAGCTACAAAGAGCTCATGACAGGGCTACAAACGGAGCACATCTTTGTAACTTTTTGTCAGGGGTGGGGGAATGCAGATTTCATCCTGGATGCAACTAGATAACTTTTATGATGAGCATCTGATGAAGTTCATGCTGTTTTTGTTCTCATCTCATCGTACTGTGCATGAGGATACAAATAACAACCAAGGTGTTCTTTTAAACATTTTTTGAGTAGACCCGAGCTGCTGCTTGACTGCTGTGTTGAGAACTATGATCTTCCAAGTTTTAAATAAAATCTATTCTTTGAATTTAATGTACCCTGCAAACTTTTCTTAGGGGAGTACTCCCTTTATCCAACAGACTGTAACAGCAATTTAGGAAGACATAGTTGCTACAAGCATCTGTGCCTCTATCTGCTGGGAATAATTTAGAAAAAAAATGCAAAGGATTGCAGTGTGGGAGAGGCACAATGAGCTGCTGCTCTAAAAGCAATTTAGGAAGGTGGAAAAAATATTTGGAGGGAAATTTGTTGAAGAACCTCAGAGAAGATAATCAAAATAGGAATATTTCAATAGTGACTTTACTAAGGAAGAAAAAAAGATGCACTAAGCCCTCTGTTATCTCTCTTGCTGTTTATCAAAAACGAACGTGTTTTTTACAGGCCTTACAAAAGTTCCTAGATTAGCTAATGCTCCATCCAGACAATAAACTTGCATGTTTGATGTCAGTCTGAGCAGACACGCACAGCTTGCTCCAGCCTGATTGGCTCAGGCAGCAATAGCAATGATGGCTGAAGAGTGGCAATGGCTCTGTACCCTCAGAAGCTGAGAAAAGACAAATGCAGACTCAGTACCCTCACCCATGCTACTGGACCATTCTCAGCCCTGTAGTGATCACTGTCTTCATGGCTGGAGCAGAATATACAAGCTTAGGTATGCAGCTCAGTGTCACTGCCCTCATATCTGATTCAGTAGAAATTCTGTCTAGAAATCACATCATCATCAACTCATAATAATGATATTTATCTGCAATTAAAGCCATTCCAATACTTTAAAGACAATGCTTGACATAGCAAAAAAAATATATCAGCCAATAGGTAAATCACTTTCAGTTTAGCGTGCTAGAGGAAGGGCAGAGAAAAGCTCTGAATAAATGGAATAGCATTTCTTCACTGATAATACCATGGGCTCCACTTACTGCTACACAAATTTAAGCTTAAAAGTTCTTGGGCTTTCCATTATTTCACATAGTAATTTCACATAATAGGCTCTGGAGACTATTAATGAAAAATCCTGCTTGATGTACTCTTGTAACCTACACATTTATAATCATGCTCTTCTTACAAAGAAAGGAAGTAGAGCTTTTGTGGTGCTAGAAAGTATTTACCTCCACAATTGCTTCATGAACAAAAGCCTATTGCAATTCACAATATTCTTTTCAGTGACTTTTATGGGATCTGGGTATTTCTCTGTACTGAGTATTTCAAGATTTTATAAAGACATTACTGCTAAAAAGTGCATTTTGTTGACGGTTTATTTCTCCAAATAAGTAGATTATCAGTGTCGCTAGGATTTTTTTCTTTTGTATGAAAAAATAAATATTGACAGAACTGATTTTAACAGCACGAAAAAAAACAGTCCTGAAAATGAAGCTCTTCAAAGTCTTGATCTTAGCTATTTTTTTACCTTTTGCTAAGTTATCAGTCTATCTATTTGAAGAAGGAGAGCAAACATTTCCATCATACGAACACAGCTGTGTATGTGATGAAATATACTTCAGGGAGATTGGATATTCTATGCAACTGAAGTCATGGGCTACCAGTAAAACTTTCTTATAACACCAACAGCACTGTGTGTATAAATACAATATTTTAAATATTACTGCTTTTGCAGTGCGATTCAAGGCCACCAGACAGTGGTGAACATTTATCTCTGGATTGCTCTTAATATTAAAATTAATTATGCTCATCATAATTCAGATACCCACTAGCACACGTTTTCTATCTCGTCAGAGTAGACTTTGTAGCATAAAATACTAATTTGTATTAAGTTTTTTTTCTTAATATATACTATGATATGACAGGTTAGATTCACAGCTTCAAGTCTGTCTAATTCTGTAGGTCATATTCAGCTTTGTCTTATCACTGTTCTATCCAGCAAAGATTTAAAATATATCTGAAGTTTGAAGATTTGGGCTGTAGAGATCCACTCAACTGGAATTTGCTTGCAGTAAGAAGAAAGCAGTAAGGCAAAACATGACAATTCTACTGAAATAGTCACTAAGTTCCTGACATTCAAGGATACGTAAAAGCCTTAGACTGGTAGGCCATGGGCCAGCTGTAGTTTGCAAACCCATAAAAAAAAATCATCAAACTAGAATTATTGAATTATAGAACATAAAAAGACCCTGCCTCAATTGAAGTGTAACAGCACCTTGAGCAGAGGCCTTGAGCATCTCCCTGTTTAGCTCCCAGACACATCAGAGGAACGTGATGTGTGCTTCCTTGTGCTTCTCCCTCTTGCTGCAAGACACACTACAGTTCTGTTTCTGTCTTGCCCACTCCAAAAGTGACGTCTTCAGCTGATCACCTTTGGAGGTGATCGATTTTTTGAAAAGTGTTTTAAGCCTCAATAGCTCAAATGAAAAGAACAAATAACATGACTCACATTTTCTTAAAAAGAAAACCAAACAACGCATTACATTTTTAGTACACAGTTGCTTTTTCTAAGCCTAACAGATATTGCTGATATACTGCTATCTGACTCTTGTTCACACCACTTATTGGAGAAGCCATTTACATCCATATGGACTGATGAAACATATTCTCCTCCAGATCTTTCCGTCCTGTAACACATCAGTCTTACACCATATTTGTACCATCTTTGGTGCAAAGAAGGTAGAGACGTGTTCACATTTAGCCCAGTGAATTGAGCAATACATGCCATTACAAATTCATTTGAAAACAGTGAGAAGCAGAAACAGTCTTTTGCACTTAGGAGATAGGTGGAACAATGATGTATTGGTAACAGTGACTTTCAGCAACACAAAGGCATACAAGCTTTTGTTCATCCAAAGCTAATTGGGAGACAATTGATCTATGTACAGTGCAAAATATCTGAAAACCTAATTAATTACAGGAGATTTATTGCAGAAAGCAGTCATTCATGAATCTGGCTCGGCTGCTCAAAGAAACAACGGCCAGCAATTAGGTTCAGACAACCCGACATAATTCTTGTTGATTCTGGATGAGATTTGGTTAGCATTTAAATTCATATTCTTCTTGCATAAGTGACTTGTTAAACAAATGAAGAATCATTGTGTGCATGCATTAGATATGTTGAGGTCTCCTTGGGTGGAAAGATTAAAACATGTGAAGCATGACTAGTTGAACTAATTTAAATGAACATTTATTTCCATGGCTCTTCAGGTACATTTTCTATATGCAATCCAAAAACAGTAAGAAAAACTGTTCTTTTCATGTGTGCTTTCATAAGATATCTAGTACTTTCAGTTTTTACTGGACAACAGTTCACGCTGGTCTGGATAACTCTTTCTTTCCTCAGTTAATCCAATGAGTATGTTTGATTCCCAGCCGTAACCTGGAACGTACTTTTGGTCTCATGTAATAGAACTAACTGATGGCCATCCTGTCTAATTGTCCTTTTTCTTTCTT